TGATTTGAGGAATTGAAACGAAGTATACCAAGTTGTTCAGACTCTGGGGGATTGGGTTCGTTTGTATGATGAAGAGATGTTGGTTGTGGCGGGAGAGGCCAAAGCAGGGCTTTGGTCTAATTGGCTTGTGGTTTTGATAATGTATGTGACCAACGAGGCTATCGTAGCTTTTGGCTCCTTGAAAATAGCGCGTGGGAGATCCGCAGTGTTAGTGAGGATGCTCGTTTATCTATTCAAGATTTCCTGCCCTGCGAGTTTTATTAGACATGGAAGACCGGAAATTGTCTCGTTCACTTTGCGGATTCGAATTTTTAATTTGAGTTGAGATGTGACATTTTTTGAAAGCTTTTCACTGTAATAGAAAAAATTGATGTGACATTTTATGAGAGCTTTTTACTGTAAAAACTTAAAACTGAAAACTCGAATCGGTGAAATGAACGAGGCACTCGTGTTTGGAGTTGTTTTTATTTTTATTTTTTTATGTTTTTTGAGAAAGAAAAAATAAAAATTGGAGAGCAATGACGTTTGACACAATTAAAGATAAAAAATAAAAATAAAAATGATTTTTAGTTTAGTTAAAATTGGAGAGAAATGAAAAACGATTTTTAGTCGTTTTTGTTTCCAAACGCGCCCAACGTTTTCAATCTCAGACATAAATCATTTTTGAAAATGCATTTGATAGTTTTATTAATAGATTATTTTCAGTATAAAAAACTCATTAATGTCTCTCTCTCTTTCTGCTCGAGAGAGGAGAAAATGAAAATAAAAAATGAAAAACAACTAAAAGTCATTTTCTATTTTTCTCTTATTTTATACTAAACTAAAAAATTATTTTTATTTCCGTTTTTTGTCTTTATTGCGCCAATTGTCGTTTTAGAAACGTTTTTATTTTTTCTTTCTCAAAAAACATGAAAAATAAAAACAGAATCAATTCCAAACAGAGCCGTTATCATTTCTATTTTCATACAAAAAATAAAATCATTTTAGAATGAGTTAACACGTATAGATTACGTTGTTGGACTATTTTCAGTCCTAAAAAATAAAAGTAGGGTGTTGTTACCTGAGTGTGAGGCCTTTGAGCCTGTTACTTGCTTTAAAAAATAATAATAGTAAATAAAGATTTTAAAAATTTTTTTTAAAAAAAAAAAAAAAAACCTGTCCCAAGTACCCTTCATTGAGAGTGAAAAGGCTATCTAGAACATCCATTCTTGTGGTGGCTTGAGTTGGGCGGGCAATATGAAAGAAAACTATTTCGTGCGTGCTGTACATGAGTAAACTTCTCATAATCAGGCTCATTTCATTGTGGAATGAGTTTTGGCACATAATCTCCAAAAGGGTATTGTGCCCAAAGTTAATGGCTACATGTTGACCTCACCAAATCATGGTTCATTGGTAAGCTGTATACCAGATTATATATAAGCTTCTTTGGTGTTGTCATAGTGACTATATATATATATATATATATATATATTATTGTTTTTAATTTTATAATATTGCATGTTTGAGAACGCGGTATATTGTTAATCAAGGTGCAAGTAATGTAGCTTCAATATTGGTTTGCCCAAAGGCTGGCTGAGGCGATACATATCTTAGGTTTGACGAGTAAATGGTCATGTGTGGTATTACTACTGTGTCTTAAATCTTAAAAAAAGATGTAGAACACGTATGAGTAATGTTATTTAGATTTGGAAAATGTTTCGCAATCATTATCAATTATATGACTATTACATGAATTAGTACATCAAAATGTCACATAAGACATGAATATGAGATTTAATAATTTACATTTTGTCATGTCATATTTTTCTTAATATATTGCTATATGAACGGTTATATACATACATACATATATATATATATATATATATATATATTGGTGTCTAGCCAACCAAAAATAATTATAAGAAGAAGAAGGTGCAAGCCAAATGGCTGCTGGCTAACAGATCCCATTTGATTAAGCTATAGGATAAGCTTAAATTAATCATGAGATAAGCATGTCCGTACGAGAAATAAGTAAACACAATTATAACGTTAAGCATTGACTAATTCTTTCACATGTTTTGACTAGTAACAAGCCTTTGCAATATGACCTACGTAGTTCACCAAAAAAACTACTATTATTATTGTTGATTTTTGATAAAGCTACCTGATATCTTACAACCCTGTTCCAAGTCTAACCCTTGATGGAGAAGAAAAGAAAAATACCATTTAGCATGCTTTTGGCATGTTGGACTAAAATATCATTTAGAATCTGTCTGGAAATTTCATTTAAAAACACAGATCCAGACGTAATTATTATTTTAAAAAAGGTAATTTCTCATATGCATTTTTATACTTTTTTTAATAAGACTATATATATATATGTTTTTTTTTAGTTTTGAACTTTTAAAAACTTCTGTTATACATGAGTCTGCATGGTTATCAATGTCAACAGACGAATTAGTCAGTTGTCATTTTATTAAACCATGATTCTCCTTTGTAATCACTTGACAAAAAGGCACCCACTTGTAAAACTACAGAATTGCATTAATAAAGTTCACTTGGTGTTCAGATTATGAAACCATTCACCGACTTCTTTTCTTACTTTTTTGTGACTTTTCTTAGAATTTTTAACATCACATTAAAAACATTAAAATCATATCTTATTTGAAAAATAACAATATTTTAACAAACATCCGACAGTTAAAAGTTATGTCCTATCAGTAGAGTTTTTTTTTTTTTTTTTTTTTTTTTTTTTTTTTTTTTACATATGCCACAAAATTCTCCTTTATAATATGAAACAAATAAAGTTTCTGTTCGGCTTTTGACAAACAGAAAAACCTCTAAATACTTTCTGTCTAAACAAAACCATGCATGATACACACCTCTTTCTCATCCCTTTTAAAATATAATATATAATGTAGCAAAATCATTAGTTTGGAGATCTCTACTTTAGTTTTTTATATATTGTTTGGAAAGAAATGCTGGCAATGAACTTTGGATTACTCAATTGCAGTTTTTAAGTGAATTAAAAATATACAGTCATGAAGTTCATAAGAAGATTATTTTAATTCGAAAAAGTTTTGTTTAGAGTGAGATAATATCTCTTGTTTCACATGTCTGCCATAGTATATCTCAAAAAATCTAATATTCAATATTCGTGCAAGTTGTAGGATACTCTCACAAATGACAAATACAACTAACATTACTTGTTAACTACTTAACTTATGTAAAAAAAAAATTTTAAAAAAAAACATTCGACTAATTAACAATTAAAGTGAATCAATTTTTTAATTGATAACAAAAGGCAAGAGAAATTACAAGACCACGACTAAGAATCCTTTTCCACCAAGCAACATGCTTTTTTCAATGCCAATGCATGAATATTAGCTACTCAAGAGGGAAATTCTCAAAAAAAAAAAAAAAAAAAACATTAAGGAGGGAAAACTAAAACAAGTCATAATAGGTAGGCGATGAACATAATAATTGAAGTAGTACAAGGACTTTTCTACCAATGTCACTATCCACCTAGCTCTTAGTAGACGTTTGATTTATGAATTTAAAATTATGATTTAAAATTATTTTTAATTTACGTGTATTTTTTATAAGTAACAAATCACAAACTATAATTTAAATTATGACATAAATATAATAATTAAACGGGCTCTTAGTCACATCTCACATTTATAATGTGGCCTACTAATTAAGTAAACATTAGACCAATAATAAATATAGTCTGAATCCGTACTATGCTCAAAAGTAGCCTAAAAAGTAGGGCCGGCAATATGGGTAATGACACGACGACACGATTCAAAAACGACACGAATTTTACGGGTTAGGGTTAAGAAAAAAGAGGTTCGGATCGACCTGAAATTGACATGAAAAACACAGGTCAATTTTGGGTTGGACCCGCCTAACCCGAACAAGACACGAAACTTGTAAAAAACTAAAAAATACGTATATTTTTCATTTCATATTTTAAATTTTATTATGAACTTGTGATATCATGATAGTTATACTCAAAATCTTATACTATTATTTACTTAATTTCAATGGGTGTTATTGTAATTTAGTGTGTTATGAATTTTAAGTTATTTCTAATATGTAAAAAACTAAATAAAAGTATACAATTTTCGTGTCAATTTCGGATTCACGGGTCAATTTCGTGTCATTTTCAGGTCGTGTCGTGTCAACTCGTAAAGTAATCGTGTCGTGTTCGTGTAAATTTTAAAAAAATGATCAAAACACAACATAAACACGACACGTGACACGAATTGCCACCCATATTAAAAAGGCACTTTTGACAACTTCCGCTCATGGATGATTTATTATCTTGCTCAGATCCATCCTCTTTTTTTTTTTTTTTTTTTTTTTTTTTTTTTTCTTTTCCCCTCAAAAAAACCATTAAAAAGGGGGGGTTTTTTTTTTTTTTTTTTTTTTTTTTTTCTTCCTATGCGCATCAAAAAATCGATATAAAGTGGAGGACCAATAATGATCGAGTCTAATAATCTACCTGTGCTTCATTTGTGATGAAAAGATTTGGGTGGAAATGACCACTATTAATCTTTCTATCGTGTCCCACTATCACGCCAAGAGCGTTAAAAATATGAAAAGTATTAATTAGTTAGTTACCAATTCATCCCAAACATTTAACCTCTTGGGATGGTTGGGAAACTAAAATGGTATCATGTTCAAATTTTAGTAATTGCACTCTTCAACCATTCAAAATTATCATTATGTACTGAAATACTTTTAATATAGTTTAGTTTTCTTATTGTGTTGTCTTTTTTTCTGAAAAAAAAAAAAAAAAATTACCCATATACTAACCCATTATCCAGTGTGTATCTACACACGAAAGAGGGTTAGAATATAAAATTATTGTTAGTTTACCTCTTAATGAGTTAAGCATTTAGATAAATCAACATTAGATTTCTTTTAACCAATTAGAGGATGACTTGTAAGACTGTGAGATCTCGTGTCATAATCAGCTGGTCTTAGAGTGTCAATTTGTAATGTAAATATGTAATTAACTGAAATGATGTGGTTATGATCACTAGTGGTAGTATATAGCATTTCTCTCTATCACTTCTAAGAGACGGATGAGAGAGAGAAAAATCTTTATTCAATTCTCTTCTTCTTTTTACAACGAACTATCTTTTCCCGTACAAACGATCACAACTTATTTCGATCGGTCAAGACTTATTTAACTACAATGACCGAAGTTAAGAAGGGAAATTGACAAGGACCCTAAAAGAGGAAGTAATTCTTGGATAAAGGAACAGTGGTGGCTGCATCACAGGTGAGAACCTCACCGTCTGCTGTAACCATGTATGTCTCAGGGTCAACCGTGATGTTTGGAAGGGCATCATTGAGCTTCATGTCGAGTTTCGTGAGCTTTCTCACATTGTTCACTGCCCTCACACTCTTTTGCAGACCATATAAGTTTTTAATTCCATTGTCTGCAGCGACCTGTCCATAACAGGAGAGAAAAATCTTTTTTTTTTTTACTCCCATGTGTATATTTGTGTTTTTCTTTAGTTGTCTCCGGTTCGGGTATGGAGCGACATTTGTTCATTTTCTCTTTAAAATATGTATATTTTTTCTTTAAAATGTGTATATTTTCTCTTAAAACATGTACATTTCCTTTATGATAAAATATATAATATATATATATTTTAAGAAGAAATATACACATTCTAAAGAAAAAATATACATGTTTCAAAGAAAAAATATACAAATACCGCTTCAGTCTGGCTGGACCGGAGACTTTACTTATATATATATATATATATATATATATATAGAAACAGCGGCTGGACTGGAGACTTTACCTCTATATAAACATATATATAGAAACAGAGAGAGAGAGAGAGAAGAGAGAGAGAGAGAGAGAGAGAGACGTGCCTTGCTGACAAAAGCAATAGAGTTGGTACTACCAGCCTTGCCAAATGCTCCAAACATGGGCCTCATAAGCACCTGCAAGAACTCATGGTTAAGGACGAAAGTCAATATCATCATAGTATAATAGACTATGTCTCCAGTATTTCTAGCATTCCTGGATTTGATGTCCAACCAGCGAAACTACTCAACCAAGTAATTATATTTTCTATTTTCTAGGACGAATATAGTAATATACCATTATTAATCTAACCATTCGGACTTCTGCATAAGGTTTGGATAGTGAACATGCAACGAAACCTTCTGAAAGTTATTTTTGAAAGGCCTTGATTTATTTTTCCTTTACTATAAGGCGATTTAGAAGCAGAGGCTCCTCGGTATGAAACTTACGATATCAAGAAACACGACAATATCAAAGGAAAACGACAACGACATACAAACGACAGCAATCCAAAAACGAAATAGATACTGAAAAGTGAAAACGACATTATACAACTGACGACAGAAACTAATAAAACGACAAAATATTAGACAAATGACAATTCACACAACGGGCATTAATTTTTTTAAAGGAAGATAAATCTTAAAATCCACAGCATCAAATAAACGATAAAAGCTGCTAAATACGAAAACGTCAGACTGTTCAAAAAAAAAAAAAAAAGTCATATATAAACGACATCTACACAGAGAAAAATAATCCGAAAACAACATTATTATACGCACGGCAAAAACAAAAAAGCGATGAAATATTAGGAAAACGGCAATTACACACAACTTTAAAAGAAAAACGACAGCATACTAAATGACGGCAATTGCACGACCACAGTAATACAAGAGTAATGAATCGTAGAAACGACAAACCCAACAATTACCATAAAAGGTAGCAAGTAAAAGACGACAGTCTATGTGAAGCAGAAGACACTATCATATACGTAAATTAAAAGGTGTTAAATGATAAACTGTTAATGACCCCTATTAAAAAGACTATTACAGACAAAGAACAGTAATGCAAATAAAACGACAACATCATTGGAAAAACCGTAACTACGTACAAACGACAGTTATTAAAAAAGACGTCACAGAAATTCAAAATCTGTATATACTCAGCAACAAGACAACGACATTTGAACCTTCCTCAAAAAGGCAATAAATCAGAAGAGTATCGAACAAAGGACAACCAAATAAAACGGCAATATCATAAGTAACACGACATCTATGCACAAAAAAGACAGTAATTGTAATCCATACGTAACAGAACACACCGAAGGCGACAATAATCATCAATAGTCCCAAACAGACAAAACGACACTCTCACGAAGATAGAATCTCTTGAAAACGATAACATTTATGAAAGGGATAACATTTTAAGAAAGGAACATACTATACCAAATAAATAATTAAAGAATAATCGAATAAGAAATTCACAGAAAGAAACATATCTTAAAATTGGAAAACAAATTAAAAAGAAACTAAGACATAACTAATTCAGGCCTCGTTCGTTTCGCTGATTCGAGTTTAAAATTCGAGTTTTGCTACAGTAAAAAACTCTCACAAACAATCACATTTAACTTTTTTGCTACAGTAAAAAGCTCTCACATACAATCACATCTCAACTCAAATTCTAAACTCGAATCATCGAAACGAACGAGGCCTCAGAATCACTGTCCACTTCCAGTCAATCAGATTTTATGTGAGTGTTGTACTTTCATCAAGGCCTATCATTATCTGCATGCATACCACCTTTACATACATACATATATATATATATATATATGTATATATATGTAGGTATAAGGAGGCGAAAAGAGATAATAACTTTACCGGTTCAGGTGTGGGGATGCTTGCATTAGGATCACCCATATTAGCCCATGCAATTACACCGCCTTTGATGATCATTTCAGGTTTTGCCCCAAAAAAGGACGGCTTCCATAGTACAAGATCAGCCAACTTACCCACCTGCGGGAGTCAAAACTCATGTGAAGAGTTAGAGAAACTCCATTAGCTGTTAGCCTATAAGCAAAATGAAGTAAGCCGTTTGGAACTATAGGTAGTGATGTACCTCAACTGAGCCAACATATTGAGAAATCCCGTTAGCTATTGCTGGATTTATTGTGTACTTTGCTACGTATCGTTTGATCCGAAGGTTGTCATTGTTTGATCCATTTGGATCAATTGACCCTCTTTGTGACTTCATCTTGTGAGCAGTTTGCCAAGTTCTAGCTATCACCTGGTGGGAAATGACACTTATCAGCATTACTCATCAAACAAGATATAGGCTGGTAATCAGTACTCTAGTGAAGTTTTAATAGGCAAAACAACATAATAATCTGTCATTAGTAGCACTCAAACCAATTTTACATTCCCTTAGCTAATTTTAGCTGTAAAAAGCATACGCAAACTGCGGTGTAATATTTCGGTGCTTTATTCATTCCTATAATTGAAAGTTTGCCAGGAATGCTGTTTGAACGACTTAAAATGCATTGAATCAAGTCAACTCATTAGGTCCCATGCTGATCGTATGGTTTGATTCTGTTTTTGACGTGTAACTTAAGTTTCTAATATCAACAGAAGCAATCAACGTAGACACAGTAAGTGAAGTGAAAAATCAACAAAGACATAAACAATGAGGAAAAGGAAAGTGATATTTTAAGCCAAAGCTTTAAGGTAAACCTCCCCAATGCGTCCCATAGCCTGCGAGTCGGAAGATATAATGCTGATTGCTCCCATATCATGCAAAATATCTTCTGCAGCGATTGTCTCTGCCCTTATTCGTGAATCTGCAAATTTTACGTCTTCTGGAATATTCTTGTCAAGGTGATGACAAACCATCTGTGTGTACCCAGAGATAAAAATGAGCATATTGATCATCTATAATGCATATACTGTACAAAGTATTTCCTCTATCTTCTAGTACCAGCATGTCAAGATGTTCATCTATAGTATTTGAGGTGAAGGGGCGTGTGGGGTTTGTTGATGAAGGCAAGACGTTTTTCACACCACATACTCTAATAATATCAGGAGCATGACCTCCACCTGCGCCCTCACTGCCAAAATACATACCAAAGACAGACAAAACCTGAATAGGTAAAAAGCAGTCCGAAAAACAATAGGTTGTGGTACTTATGACAAAAGGGTAAAAAATGTCCAGATATAGCAGATGTCATGCCGAAAGAAAGTTTCAGTCAACATAGTTTGCAAGCAGGGTTTTCTGCACTAAGAACAATACATTTCTTATATACAAAGTATTTTTCATGTAATATTAACAGATTCTATTCTTGAATCATAATACAACCTTGACAACAGAACCTAATTGTCATGTTAGGTAAATGAGCAAGTGTTACAACTAACAAGGAAGATAGAATATGCTACTTATATACCTATGATAAGCATGAATTGTTCTTCCTTTAAAAGCAGCAATTGTGTTTTCCACAAATCCCGATTCATTCAAAGTATCTGTGTGTATATTAACCTGTCCAAATGGAGATGATCAAAGAAAGCTAGATATAATCATGAAATAGATAGACATTGAATTCAAACGTGTTTTTGTGAACAATCCAGAATAGCATGTAGAATGCAGTACCTGGACGTCATGTTGTTCTGCAACAGCCAAACAATTGTCTATGGCTGCAGGGGTGGTTCCCCAGTCCTCATGCAGCTTCAGTCCCATTGCCCCAGCCTTGATTATCTCATGTAGCTCATCAGGTGTAGAACTGTTTCCCTAAAGTTTTTAAAAAATTGTTGAGAACAAGACAGAATTATAAGGAGCGGGATACTAATAGGTTCATTCTTCCATGTTTAAAGGGAAAAATTATCAAAAAGACAAAGTTAAGACATAGTTAACAGACTTTTCCCGTGAAACCAAAATTTAGAGGCAGATCGTCTGTTGACTGCAACATCAATTTCATATGCGATGGTGCTGGGGTGCAAGTTGTTGCACGAGTCCCTTCAGCAGGTCCGGTTCCACCTCCCACCAACGTTGTGATTCCTACACATGAAGTCAAGGTCAAATACAAAAATAAGGCTAAATCAAAATAATAAATAAAACAGATACGTAGTTTATTTTTGGTTGTCTTCTAAGTTCTAACACTGCAACATTAACCTGGCGAACTTATGAGAATCTACCAAATGTGTTCTATACGAGTTTTTCCCATCACCATTCACCTGTAAATGTATTTCCACTGCTCGTAGTTTTAAACAAATAAATGTGCATGTTGCGATTCATCTATATGTATCTGTATCTACATTTTTCCTGGAATACATGTATCTAGAACCATGCAAGTATACATTGATCATCTTTACTATATTTCCAATTATGCAGCTCACCACTTGCTATAGCTTCATAGGCCAATTGAGGGCATATAAAGTGCACATGACAGTCTATGGCCCCTGCAGTTATGATCTTTCCTTCTCCCGCAATAACCTCGGTGTTAACCTAATTATAATGAGAGGTAAGAATATGTCATTGTCATGGTGATACGTTATACAGAAAATGCTGGTCCAAAATGAGATGGAATTTACCCCAATGATCATGTTTGAAAATACACCATCCATAATATCTGGATTCCCAGCTTTCCCAAGGGAAACTATAAGACCATCTTTGATACCAATATCTGCCTTAAATATTCCACTATAATCAATTATCACAGCATTAGTTATGACAGTGTCAAGAGCGCCATCCGGTGGGTACCCACATGCCTGTCCCATCCCATCTCTTATAACTTTCCCACCTCCAAACACACATTCATCACCATAAACAGCAAAATCCCTTTCTATTTCGGCATACAAGTTAGTATCGCCAAGCCGAATTTTGTCTCCAGTAGTGGGGCCATAAATGTTGGCATATGCCTCTCGAGAAATTACTGCAGTGAAATCCAAGTTTTCTCCGGTAATACCTTCACTAAAATCAGTTTTGGGGTAAGACATCTCATGTATCCTTAATACACAGGTTTACTTAAGCAGACAGTATTACTGCTACAACAAAAGAAAAGGAAAACAAGTGATACTGAATTGTAAAGTAGAAAGTTTGAACCTTGCATTTTCTTCTTCGTTATTTCCAAATCCTCTTGCACTTAAAGCTTCTAACACTTCTTCCCACTTCGCATCATCGACCGGACCATCTACAATGGCATTACCTCCTCTGATCACTCTCTTACCCCCAATGCTTACAAGTTTGACACTTTTGTTTTCCCCAGGCTGGAAAACCAAAAAATAAAATGAAATGAATAAATAAATAAATAAACAAAGGGCAGTGAAGATATTAACGTAATTGAATGAACTGAACATCTTAGTTGCATGACTGTATATTAATCAAGCAGTTAGAGATTTTTAGAAGGTTGCAAAGTAACCTCGAATCTTGTGGCAGTTCCAGCTGGTATATTGAGGCGCATGCCATATGCTTTCTTTCGATCAAAAACCAACGACGGATTAACCTCAATGAAGTGGTAGTGGCTGCCAATCTGCAATAATGCCAAATGTTTAAAAAATCATAATAATCATTTCAAATTTCCATTGCCAGGAAGCGATTCGGTAAACAGCAAACGAAATGTTGATGAGTAAGAAACAGAAGATATATAGTTGGTTCCTTGACACAGTCACGCAGCAACATCAAAAGCACAATGAAGCAAGAGTATATAAGGAATGAAAATAGCAAAGACCTGAACCGGTCTGTCTCCTGTATTGATAACTTTGAGTACTGCTGCTCTCCTGTAAGGATTAAGGGTAATATCTCCACTTCTACAGATTATTTCACCAGGATGAACATCGTCTTCTGTCCTAGTAAACTTTTCTGATGAAGGGACTGCAGAACAATTCCTTTTGTTAACATCGATACATCATTAAACAAAGCCAGACTCATTGCCAATATCTACTCCAAAAACTCCACCAAAGATAATTCCAAACAAACTCAGACTCATTGTCAATTTCTACTCCAAAAACTCTACCAAGGATAATTCAAGGTATCCTAGATTGCAAATCTTAACATCTACATAAAATGTTTGGACCACTCGAAAATATTGGTACTAAACATAGACTAGAACCTTCTGGGGGGAACTTGGGGATGGTGGGATTTGAACTCTAGACCTTAACATTAGAGTCAGGTGTTGAATTACAATTTACCACAAAAAGCTAAGCCTGCAACTGCCATAGGCAAGAGTCAACTGGTTCCAAAAAAACCGTAATTTCTCTCTTTTCAATCCAAGTTTAACCTTTTTTACCTGGAAGAAAAGAACAGCGTAAAGCTAGCTCCAGATTTCCTTCTTCACTAGAAATTGCGTCGTGGATGGTGATTAACTTAGTCCCATCAGGAAAGGTCCCCTCAACCTACAACAAGAACATTACATTTTTTCTCTATAAATAGCTTGAATGATATCTATAGAGTGACCAAAGAGTTTTCCTCAGATTAAAGGAAAGTTCTAATTGATCACAGTCTTAATGAGCCTATGAGCATATACATACATATATGTACCTGTACTGTATCCAAGAGATGTGGAACAGCAGGAAGAACTTGCCTCCTGTTAAAAAAAAAATAATAAACAAAAAACAAATATACAATGCTTTAAATTGGCATTCTAAAACAGAAGAGAAAATTGAATCAAAATCTTTACAATTATTACCTTCCGAGGAGTTGTTTCCCTATGTCCATCAACTCTGCCACAGTTTTATCACCATCTCTAACAAACTCCAAAATCTACCCATAAAAATTAGTTAGCAATAAGTCAAATCTCATTTCTTCTTCACTCCAACCAAATCCAAATTTAAAAAAAAAAAATCCCATTCAAAAATCTCAATCATATTACTGATTAATCATAACTGCCATTGAAAAGGTCTGATTTTCATTCAAAAAAAAAAAAAAAAAAAGAACCTGTGTGGCTATGAGTGCTACTGCTTCAGTGTAATTGAGCCTTAAGCCACGAGCAAGACGCTTTTGTGCCAAGAACCCAGCATTGTGAAGATCTAATTTTTCGATTTCTCTTGGCGTCAATTTCATTGTCAGATCAAGTCCTTTTTCTGGTTTTTTTTTTTTTTTTTTTTAAGAAGCTATATTAGAGAGTGATATTTAGAACGGCGTGAATTTTGTTAAAAAAAAAAAAGAAAGAAAGAAAGAAAAGAAATTGATGATAATAATATACGTTGTGGATAGACAACAGAATTGAGTGTTTCGTTATCACCTATCTGATATAGCAAGAAATCGTTGACCGATGAAACTGTAAAGTGAGCTTCTTTGGACAGGTTGCACTTCGAATTATGTTCTACTGTCTCTCTCTCTCTCTCTCTCCTCAGATGATGAAAAATAGGTCTAATGATGTGCTACGTACTTTTGTCTTGTCGTCTGTTTATTCGTTTTTGGTAATACCAAACAAAACGCATTGCCCATTAAACTATACATGTATAAGTTTTGAATTAATTACATAAAATACCTATTATTATTGAAGCCGTATTTTAAAAATGCGGGAAGCTGTATTTTTATTTTGATACTATTTCAACCAAATCCAACTATACCACAAGGAAATCATCCATAATCAGGCATGGAGCCACTGACAATTATTTTGTTCTTTATAATTTTATACCTAAATAAGAAGTGTGTTATAGAAAGTCCCAACTAAGATTTAAAAAATTAATCTTGTAGTTCCCATTTAATTTTTATCTTAATTATTAACCTTATTATTATAAATTCTTAATTCCGCCACTGTCCATAATATGAGAGCTTATGAATATGAGGAGAAAATTAAAAACTTAGGGCTTGTTTTTTGAGTGAAAAACTCAAAAAAAGGCAACTCGAGTTACAACTTTATCTTAGTTCATGTTCTTTTAAGTTTAAACTCGAGTTTAAACTCAAGTTCAAAATCGAGTTCAATTTCCCCTTCAACTCGAGTTCAGAAACTCGAACTCAAATTAATGAATAATATTTTTTCTATTCTTAAAAATGTTATAACTTTTTCGTTTTAATTCTGATTGAGATGATTTTTTTTTCTATGCGTTGACAACGAAAAGACGAATAAAACCCGATCCATATACCCTATTAAAATTTTTCATCAGCATTGAGTTTTTATTAAAATACTATCTAAATACAAATTCAAGTTTTGACTCACTCAAACACAAACTCAAAAAGATTCTTATCTCAAACCATAACTCAAATGTACACAACAAAACACAAGCTCAAGTTACAAGTTCAACTCAAGTTATAACTTAAATTCAACTCAAGAATTATACTCAAGTTAAACTCTAAAAGAACAAGCCCTTATTCTTTAAAAGTGTATGTTCTTTAAAAGTGTATGAATCTTTAGGGCTTGTTCTTTTGAGTGAAAAACTCAAAAAAATGCAACTCGAGTTACAACTTTATTCGAGTTCATGTTCTTTTAAGTTTAAACTCGAGTTTAGGACTAAAACTCGAGTTCAAGTTTCCCCTTCAACTCGAGTTCAGAAACTCGAACTCAAATTAATGAACAATATTTTTTCTATTCTTAAAAATGCTATAACTTTTTCGTTTTAATTCTGATTGAGATGATTTTTTTTTCTATGCGTTGACAACGAAAAGACGAATAAAACCCGATCCATATACCCTATTAAAATTTTTCATCAGCATTGAGTTTTTATTAAAATACTATCTAAATACAAATTCAAGTTTTGACTCACTCAAACACAAACTCAAAAAAAATTTTATCTCAAACCATAACTCAAATGTACACAACTAAACACAAACTCAAGTTACAAGTTCAACTCAAATTATAACTCAAATTCAACTCAAAAATTATATTCAAGTTAAACTCTAAAAGAACAAACTCTGTAAAAGCGTATGAATCTAAATTTTTTTCATGTACACTTAATTAATATTCTTTTAACGAATAAAATATTAAATTGAAAGTGTAAATAAAGATTCATATGTACAATTAAGGGGCGTATTTGTCTCGTTTTCTTACCATCGGTTGCACAAATCACACACCGATATTAAGTGGGCCAAAGCCCAAAGTGAAGAACTCCATTGTAAATACGACGGTAATCAATACAGAAGACAGTCAATCTCGACCGTTCGATGGACTAATTTAATTTCGATAACGCGTCCTAACCGTTTATCTTGCATACCTAACATCTACGACAATGGGGAACGATTTCCAACCAGCGTAATCCTCTCTCTCTTAAAAAACCTTGCCGTCTTCGACAGCCCGATTCAGTGACTGCATTTCCTCTGCAACATCTTTACATGTTACGCAGTCAAACCTCCTTCTTTTAACCTAGCTTCCCTAGGGTTAGAGTTTCATTCTGATTGTTCTTCATCTTAATCTTTCATTTCATCTATCCAATTTCTTTTTCAAAAAATTAAAAAATTTTGATTTATCGCTGTATTTTGTGTTGACGATGAGGAATTATTGTCGTTTCAAATCCAAAATTGTGAAAATCGATGTCTGTTTTAGTTCCAGATGTCCTGCATCGGTTAGAGAGAAGAAGAGGAGAATCCAGAGAGAGAGATAAAGCCCTAAACTTGCAAATCGTTTGTTTGGAATCAAATGGCAGCTCTGCAGAAAGCTCGCGCAGCTTCGAAGGCCATCGTCAGCTATGTCATTTGCCCCTCTGGTTTGACTGCGGCCGTATTATCACTCCCGGTATATTCTTCTCTCTCTCATTTCGTTCTGTTTTCAATTCAGTTACCATTACTTTAATGGTGAAACGAATAGAATAACAATTTGGTTTAGTTTAATTTTACCAAGGAGAGAGGCGGGATGGCAATTTTTTTGCGTTACAACTTCATCTTGATTGTGAATTGTATGTTTGTACCGAAAATTCTGTGGAAAAGAAAAGGAATTGCGAATTAAGAATACTTAGGGGTGAAGAACGAGCCAAAAAACCTTAAATTACATACAAGTTCACTTGAAAGCAACCTTTTTTTATTATTTTTGCGCGAGAAAAACCTTAACTTTCGGGTAAAGATTGCTGAAATTTTTGTATAAAGGGTTAAAAGAAGGATCTTTTTGTTGCCGGCTAGAAGGAGATTTGTAATTTGATAAATTATGACAGGCTTGACCTAGTCGTTGAGTTGGTTTTGGCTATTAGGAAACCTTTATTTGAAGACGGTGTCTCTTTTATTTGGTTTTGCAGAGATTATACGACAAGGGTGTATTTATAATGTTCAAATCCAGCATGAGCTTTGTTGTTTTCCTGAGATTTACCAGTGAATTGTACGCCTTATCATTCTTGTTTTGATGTTTCTGCATGTGGCCGAAAAAGGCGCTAGTTCATCGCACAACAGTATGATGAACCAGTTGCTTCACATGGATATAAATTCTATGATCGGGAGTTGCATGCCTCTTTCTTCAATGCGCATTGGAACAATTATCCACAACATCGAGGTGAACCTGAGTCAAGGTGGCAAGCTCGTTTGAGCAGCGGGAACCGGAGCGAAGATCCTGAAGGAACCCTCGGCAACCAAATCTCTAGTGAGACTGCCTTTGGGTGCCGAAAATTGGATTGATTCCAGCTGCAGGGCCACAATTGGAGTGGTGTCTAATCCTGACGGGGCTAAGAAGCTCTGGAAGGCGGGGCAGAGCTGGTGGTTGGGAATAAGGCCAACTGTTCCAGGAGTGGCAATGAATCCGGTTGACCATCCTCATGGTGGAGGTGAGGGTCGGAGTAAGAGTACTGGGAATTTGGGAAGGACTTCTCAAACGCCTTGGGGCAAGCCATGCAAGTCAGGATACAAAACTGGACCTCTCAAGCGCAGAGAGTAGAGTTTGGTCGCGGTCTTTGTTTTTTGCCTCAACTATGTTGTTTAACTTCTTGAGAATTAGCAGCATTAATAATTTCTACTTGAATCTTTGCCTCAGATTTTTTTTCGCAAGCAACTCTTTTCTTGATTTGGTTCTGTGTTGTTTTTTCATTTTTTATTCCTAGTTGTACGAACTTTTGGGAAAACATGTTGTTGGCTTGCATTCATTTCAACTGGGTAAGTTGAAGACTTGAGGTGTAGATCCCTATAAATTTCATGTAGGCGCTCTTTTGCTTGAATATAGAGATCCCTTGTAATCTCTTTCATGTGAAAATTCCACCTAAACCATAACCATATGGCCGATATCCATGCCGCCATACAAAATGCAAAGTTTCATTTTTATTTTATTCTTTACTTTTATGGATATGAAAGAAGGGTCAGTTTAGTCTTCGTTAGATGGTGGCATACGCCAATTTTTTGTGAACTTTGGTAGAAAGTGCACTGAAATGTAGTCCCTAGTTTTTGATATCCGGTTCCTCCTTTCTATCGTTTTGTTGTGTTCGGTAAGTTCATCTGCCTTTATATTTGCACCTACTAAATTCATTAATACCCCCACTAATTCATAATTTATATTTATTATAATTTTAACCTACACTAAAACTACATTAAAACCCATTAACACACTCCCACATTAATTATAAGAAGTAAAATTTTTATCAAAGAAATAATAGAACACACCCAAATCAACTATAAGAAGAAAGTATTTTTTTCAAGAGAAACATACCCCCACCTATTGTTTTACACTAAACCAAAATCAATCTAAAATTAAGAAATGAAGAACAAGTCTTTATTAGTTTTACCCATTAGCAATATGATTAGGCAAAGCAATCAAAGGAGCTGCTTTGTAAATTGTGCGGATCAACTCAGAGAGTTGTTTTCGTGCTTCCTCGTTCAAAAAAAAAAACTCACTAGGCAAAAAAAAAAAAAAAAAAGCATACCCCCACATTTCAGGTTGAATCTAATTTCATCTTCATAAACTTTGTTTTCTCTATCAAATTCTTTAAAAATTTCATATGGAGATTCTAATTGAGCCTTTATATGCCTCAACATCATTGTGTATATGGTTCTTTTTAATCGCATCTAGTTGTTTTTGTGTTATGTAAGCTTTGTTCTTATTTAATGGATATCATCTAAAAAAACAAGGAAGAGGAGGAGATAAGACGAAGACAATTGATAAATAAAAGTAAAGAAAATTGCAATAATTTTAAAAAGAAAAATATAAAATTAATAGCTGAAAGGATTATATTATTTTATAAATTAAGATTAAGATTAAAATGAGGTGGGGGTATAAAAGGGTTAATTTAGGTATTATAAAAATTATATCTATAAAAGGATAGATTTTTCAAATATTTTATTAGATGAGTATCAATTAGTAGGGATATCTATGAATTTTTTGGGTGCAAATATAACTACAAGTATCATGTTCTAGATCTGTTGGATTTCATTTCATTAAAGTGACAGAGATGGTCGATTTTTTGAGTCCCTTAGTTTTCCTTTCACTAAGGTGCTTCTTCATCTCAGAAACTAGAGAGCATGATTGGATGAATTTCATATCCGTATCTTAGTTTGCTTCATCTCATTTTCATATTTCAATACAACGGTATGTAAACTTTAGGAAACTGATCAAGTGCAATCAAATGTGACTCAAAATTCTATGATTGTTGTCAGCATTTATTCTGATACATAGTAAAAATAACTATGGAAGTTGGAAAACCAACTAGAGCTCAATGTCTTGCATGAAAAAAATGAAGTTATGGCAAAACAAGTGGCAGTAATAGAATCCATTCCAAGAATAACGCATTCCCCTCATGAGATGACTTTCAGAACTTCAGTAGTGACCTCTTTTGGAGGTTTCTCTGCGTGCAATTGGGCAAGTACACCTTTCTTGGCATAGTAACTGATGACCTGAAGTTCAAAGAGTCATACAAAAAGATCAGAATACTTGCAAAAATAAACAAACATCAAACGGAGAATGGAAAATGGTGAAACTAAGATCTCAAAAAAGGTAGGTAGAATACTAATCGTGGTAAGCTTGGATTAACCCTATTTCTTTTTCTACTTCTATCATGTTTTTAAGCAATTAAAATCCATGCTTCTTTTAGAACATAAGCACAAATGTTTCTAAGCCAAATTATTGGCATAATTTAAAATCAGTCAGAGTTGCAAAATTGATGAGTAGGCCTAGAAATGCAACTGTCAAATGTTAAAAAGATTATGCAACCTAAACAAGTGAAAAGTTCATTTCCAGCATAAAAGGGGCGGGGAAGTGAGAGTTTACAACAGCTAGATGAGAATGCCATGCAGATTGCTATTGTCACTGTAATACCACGTATAATTGCTTACTGCTTAAAGAATTAGGCATACCGGTTCTGTTTGTCTGTGAAATGCTTCCAGTCTGGACTTGAGAACTTCTGCGGTATCATCTTTTCGCTGAATTAGAGGCTCTCCTGTGACCTTAAGCCAATGCCAAAAGGAAGTAAGAATGTTGAATAGAAGATGCGCGGAAAATTTTGATGCCATTGTTTTTTATTCATGCCTCAGAGTTTTCTAGCAGTTGAATATTGAGATTGTAAACCGACCTTATTTATAGATTTTGGATCATCAAAGCATATGTCATAAACAAATTTCACATGGATTAGATTGAGGATCTTTCTTGGTAGATTGGTCCTGATATATTATATTATTCAGCTCGAAAACTATATCTATGATAAAGTTAGTTCAGTTTATCACTTCAAGCTTCAACTTTAACATTATTGAGACTCTTAACAAATTGTAAATCTAGGGAATCTATAATCAGGGGCGGAGCCACGTAGTCGACTGTAGGTGGCTGCCCCATTTGGATTTTTTTTCTTTTTTAATTTTATACATGAAATCTAATAAAATATGTAGTTTACTCCTTTATGAAATTCTGAAATTCTATGTTTGCCTCACTTTATAAATAGCCTAGTCTACATTTTCGATAATTTTAGTATACTCCCCACCCCTTACTTGTTTTTCTGACTCCACCCCTGCCCATACTAGTATTCAACCTCAAAAGAGAACTAAACTAACTTACATCGTCAACAACAGCAACTTTTGGAGGTGCGAATTTTATGTGATAAGAACGACCACTAGAAGGGTGTATCCATCGACTGGTGATCCTCTCCTCCAATATGGAATCATCAATTGCAAAATCAAGAACCTTGTCGATTTTGGCTCCTTGCTTTTCAAGCATCTCATCTAGCTGTCATTTAATGAAAAGAAACACATGAGAAGTCAACTTTGAGAAGAGCAAAAGCCTAAAACATATCGAGGCAATGGAAACAAAATTATGGAAGCATAAGGAGACCTTTTGAGCTTGGACAACGGTCCTTGGAAAACCATCCAGGATAAAACCTTTTTGACATGACAGTTTCTTCATGGCTTCATCAATTATACCAACAACCAAGTCATCAGATACAAGTTCTCCCTGCCAAACCAATTTGATAGTATATATAATCAAAGGCATAAACTAAGAAATAATCATTTGGGAAAGCGAAAAACAATAAAATAAAATAAAATAATGGAAGCAAAAGTACCATATCCATGGCTTCTTTGGCCTTAATGCCAAGAGGAGTTTTAGCAGCAACAGCAGCTCTCAGCATGTCACCAGTGGCTAAATGGCACAAGCAATACTCTTCCTTGATAATGGGAGACTGTGTACCTTTTCCAGAACCAGGTGGGCCTGCCATTTATCTAATATCTCATAAAATGCACATTGGACTTGAAACCAATTTTCCCATGTAAACTAAGCACACAATGTATTGTTTTCTGTGTGTATCAGTTATTTAACTGGCTAAATTGGATGTATTATTTTAAGGCATAAGGCTCTCCCTTCAAAGAGACTAAATCCAAAAACTTTAAAGACCATAGAACAGCTTGTGTTTGGGTCACATTCTAAGCATAATACAGGGAGACATGCAATTTTCTCAAACTCTACATTCCATACTGAAAAGCAACATACTTTTTTGTCCGCTACTTATCATTACAGAATGGCCATATCAAACACACCCTTTTATCATTCAAACCTCAGAAAAGCCAAACAATAAACGATCTCTCGAAAGACAAAAAAGTAATACCGATGAGAATGAGACGCTTATCGGGTTTGGAGGAGCACTTGAAGCGGCGTAGGAGTTCGCTCATTATGTCAACGGAAGAAACGTCCCCCATAGCAACTGCAGAGCTCCCCATTCTCTTTTCTGTTCTTTTTTCTCATTCAGTGCTTGTTCTTCTATAGTACGATGGCTATACCTGCAATGTTAAAATGGACATGGAATGAAGACAGAAATGTATTTGTAGGTGTAGAATCTCATTTTGTGTCTGGTAAAAAGAGGAGACTTAAAAGGGTGGTTGTACCTTTTGGTGGGTTGGTGATTTGATGGCGTGTGACTAATGGATCCCACTGGCTGCCGGCTCTTACTAGTTAGTAGTACTATAATGTATTTATATCATCACATTGAACAATAAGCAGTTAATGTTTTTATGCAGTATTATTACATTTAATACTACTATTTTTATTGTCTTAAAGTATAAAATAGAAATTAAATGAAAATAATCAATGGTTTGCCTTTGTGTTTATTGCATCGTTTGGTGCTCCTTGGCGTTTCGTTTTTACAAAAGAATAGATACCCTCAAATTTGTTTAAAATATAATAATTTAGTAACAAATATAACATATAATAAAATTTCAGAAGTATATTTCATGGATAGCTTACTAGATTTTTCTTTTCCTAAATAAGGATGTCATATTTTCCTTTGGAATAAGAAAGATGATGACGTCAAATTAACCTTTCTTTCACTAAGCATGTACGGTTGACTCTTATAACATCACATCAGTATCTCACCGTCTAAAAAAATAAAAATAAAAATAAAAATAAATCTATCAACCTGAAATACTATGCTTGGATTCGTTAAAATGACATTCGTCAAATGTCTAATTTCGTCTGTTTAATACTAAAGGCGACAAAACTAATATAATTCTTATGGTTTCCCTAAAAAAAAAAAAAATAAATAAAGAGGAAATATAAATCATATGGGTGAGATAAATCTTAAACTCTGAAAATTTTTTCATAAACAGAATCTTCGCCTGCAAATAGGAAATAGCACGGCTCCATTGGGCTGTGTGTTTTCCCGTTAGGATATGGCGCAGAACCCAGCAACCCACAAAGACAATGACGTCTCAATCTTCACCAATCACCACGCCTCCATGATAATAAATCCTCCATCAAAACTCCCAAGTCATTGGTTTGCTAAATGCTGAAGACATGTGAAACATCTTCAACAGATCCTATCCTTTGGATCAATTGGATGAGACTTGACCGTTTGATGGAAATTCGAAACTAACAAGAGTCTCACAGACCACTTCTCCTCAGCTTGAATTTCTGTTGACGACAGGCTAGGCTCATAACTCACTGGAAGCAGCAAAGGCTTATTAAGTATCAACGGACCGTGGATGAGCTTATTTCTTTCCTTTACGAGCAAGAAACCGTTCCCTAGCCGCCTGTATTCTATTTTCATGATCATCTGGAGCTCCGGCGGCTGCATCTTTCTTTGGCAAGTCTGAGAGTTTCCCATCATCAACATGAGCGACGCCACCACTGCACACAAACAAAAAGCCCCAAGTTCATCTACACTCTTGCTGCGGACAAAATTAACCTCTCCTTCAAATTACTTTAGAGAAACCCACTTACCTTAATTTATTAACATTGACTTTATTGATCTTGTTTATGATGGGAGTCGCCCATTTAATATCAACAGAACATAAATTACGCAAGTATGGGCGTGTAGTTGCAACGAGCTCGTGGTACAAAATGTAGTCTGCGAGTTTTCCTTCCTCGTCTGGTTTCAAAGCAGATGATGGATGCACCTAAAATGAAGTAGAAGTTACAAACAGCTAAGCTTTTAAAAGGGTCAAAATACAATATTCAATACAATATTCAATGCTGCAATTAGTTTTAGCCATTGCTTTTAGCACGATATACAATTTCGTAGGATACTTCATTCTCACAAAATTTTGAAGCATATACCTGTACCGTTTGAGCCTTAAAACCTAATGTTCGATATCCATTGTGATGTATCATTCTCTCAGCAAGCTGGTTTGCATAACCTACACACAAAGCTTTCCTCAAATGGTAATAATCCTGTTGGTTCTCTCTCCATCTTCGGCTTCTCCGTACGTCTAGTGGTCCTGTTATCAAAAACAACATAACAAGAATGTAAAAGCGGTAGCTGCAGTGCAGGGGAAACAGAATTAAGGTAACAAAGCACCAGAATCATAAAGGGTATGTTTATTTGCACAACTCAAGTTAAATTATGAATTTTTGTAAGAGAAAACACTGTAGCAAAAGTTAAATTTGAATTTTTGTGAGAGAAAATACTGTAGCAATATGACTTGAGTCATGAAAGGAACAAGGCCAAAAACTTCTAAACTTCAGATAAACCAGTCCATGGTTGACTTTATAATGTATGAAAGTAGGTGCACATTTCCACCCACCGTATGAGAGGGATGTGTAAAGAAAAATTCTATCAAAACATATACAGCCAATTTAAATAATTTGACTGATATCTACTCTAAGGCTCGCTATGATGTAGCTTACCCTTTGCAATTTTCTCCATTATCTGGCACAACTGTTTCCGGACATCCTTAACAAAAGTCATCCCTCTCACCTACAATAGGGAACGTAAAAAAAATGTTACTTTCTCTTCTTCCCTTTTTTTTTTTATTGTTAGAAAAAAGTATATATGAAAACAAAAACATACATGTGCTAGTCATAATTCATCTATCAAATTCAAACAGATTCCCCTCTAATGACAAGAATCCGGCATATATGATGGAAAACAAAATGCATGTTCAGCATCAGAGTAGAGTTCAAGGACAGCATCTAAAGAATGGATTCAAATATGAAATATGGTAGGGACCCAAAAAGAATAGACCCATCTTATAGCTGTTAGATAACCAGTGTGACTCCACCTAATTGATTAGCCTTGAACATATGAAAATGAATTATACTCGTAAGATTGATTCTATTGGAACATGTCACTATTTGCCAATGTAAAAGATACCTGCAAGCCATTGACCTTGCACCAATCAATATTATAGTCGGTTTGATGCCAGCACTCATAGATTTGTAGCAACTGAATGTGATCTCCCCAGCCAGAACCATCGGGAAGGTCCAGATTATTCTGTTTCCTCTTCTTCTCAGTATCCTTGCTGCAAGTGGAGGTCAAGCTACTTACGAAATCTTTTTCTTTTTTTCTTTTTTGAAATATATAAAATTTAACCGGTGTAAAAGTTCCCCATCATGGTTGTTGAATATAAGACTGCTAGTTAATATAGAAGATTGAATTATGATGCCGTTGTTATTGTTCTCTATTGTTCTCCGGTTCAAGAAGCGGGGTAAAGAGGATTAAAGGAGACAACATGACCAAGAAACAAAAAAATAAAATAATATGTTCCTAAGTACTATAAAATTCAAGGTTTTCATAGGAAAGGGAGTTTTGTAATTTGTATATAAAAAGATAACCTGAAAAGCTTCAAAGTATAATAGCACTCATCGAAATCATTTAGGAATAACTAGTCAGTAGTACGATCTAGAAAAATAAAATATTATCCTTTCATTGCATACTTTCAGTACTCCACCACGAGAAATTTCATGTTCTAACCTTCGACCAGGTAACAATGCGGTTTCCGCAGATAGCATAGCTGCAACAGTCAAAGCCTGGGATAAGCAACCATATTCATTTGCCTCCATCAAGGTTCTTGAAAGTGATGGTTCTAGAGGTAGCTCTACAAAAAATCAACAAACGCAATCGATGCAATTAAAAGTTACTAACATTTACATCTAATATTTTCCAACATAAAGTACAGATTTCGTAGCAAACATTATAGTCCAAGCCTTATTTATTTATTTATTTGCAACAAAATCCAAAGATTGGATTTAAGAGAGGACTCGGTCAAATGCACCATAGGACTACACTATCTAATGTCCACATATAAGCAAAACACAGATAAATTTTGAAAAGATTAACTCGTATACTTGTGATTTGGAAACATAAAAGACAAAATGGAAAAAAGGGTCCATAGATCTGGTTAGGTAGGGATCCTACACGCAAAATTTGATCATTTCAGAAGAAATTAGTACTCCAGAAAATCTATGCCTACGTTTAATGATAGAAGCATGCAGTTACTATTGTCAAAATTCCTCAAAAGTGGATGAGAATCTTACCTGCCATTGTTCGTCCAATTGATGTGATCTGTCCATTTTCATCAATAGCGTCAATGAGATATAATTGCCTTAAAGCATCTTCTAAAGACTCGGCTGCCACAAAGACAATAAGATTTCAACAACAAACCCACGAACTTCGAAATTTATTCCTAAGAAATGAAAAGGATGAAAATGATAAATAACTTTACTTACAGGAAGGTGGATCAAGAAAATCAAATTTCAAAATATCAATATCTGAAAGGTCCAAAGATTTCAAATAAAGAACACTTCCAGCAAGAGAACATCTCTGTATTTCAGGAACTGTTACATCCAGGAATTCATCATTGTAAACGGAGGAAGGGTATAGTCGATAGCACTTCCCAGGACGTGTTCTTCCAGCTCGCCCTGCACGTTGATTAGCTTGTACTCTGCAATTAAATTAAACCAAATTCTATCTAAATCATAATAGATATATTAATGACTTTCAAGGGAATTAATTATCAACTAACTACTGTTTGAAAGTCTATCAAACAAAAAGAGTACGATCATAACAGCATTTCAGAACTGGCAACTCAATTTTCAAGCTTTCTTTACTTTCTCATCAATTTCATCAACCAAATTTAACAAAGTTAGACCTTTCAAGTTGAACACACACAACAATCGCACCCCGTGCACAAACAAGCGCACACACACACACTATATTGTGTGTTGATATCACTAGCATAGTGAAAAGCAAACAAACACAAGAATCAATTATCAATCTTCGTTGCATGCTAAGCAATCATAAAGATATATTACTCTATGAAAAGATGAACCCCTTACTTGCTAATTTGAACAACGTCAAGGGAGTACATTCCGGTTGATGGGTTGTACTGCCGTTGCTTCACATAACCAGAATCAATAACATACCTATCATTTGTACACAATTAGCAAGTACACAAAAACTGTTCTATAAAATAAACAATAAACCAAGATATAAATCGGAAATTGACTAAATGAATATAACCGCTATGCAAATAAGTTACACTCACACAACACCATCCACGGTCAAGGAAGTCTCAGCAATGTTCGTGGCAACAATTATTCTCCTACAGTTTGGGGGTGGAGGACTAAATACACGAACCTGTAGGATCAAATATAGACAACATCAAACAAAAAAGTTATTTACATAATACATGGGCATCTCCAAGAAGGGAGAAAAACCAATAAAGACTAAGGCACTTGCCTGCATTTCAGGTGGCAAAGAACCATGAAGGGGAAGGATTATCGCATCCATACACGATCCTTCTTCCAGGCTTCTTATTCTATCTTCTAATTTCGATACCAACTTCTCTATATCATCCTATGTGCAATGGTGTCTTTTAGTTATTAGAGGAATTGTAAAGCCGAAATCAATAAAATAAACCAAAATAGAAAGTCGACGGATGGAGAGAGATATAACTAGAAAGAGAGACCAGACCTGCCCGGTCATAAATATTAGGACATCCCCTTCTGGTTCCCGAACATGGATATCTATTAAGATGTCAATGGTTAGCACTTACTACAACCTCCTAGACAAATGCCAAGTATTTCTTTAAGTTTATAACAGACAACCAAATAATGATGAATATAGAAAATACATCACAACAAGCTAAGCTACCATGTTAAATGATATTGTCAAGGATTAAACTAAAATTTGATCATATACCCAGAGCTTTTTTCAAAGCTGATTCGTGATAGCTTTTAGGGCGCTCTTTGCTGTACAATATTTCAACTGGGTACAGCTTCCCGGGGACATTCAGTACTGGGCAATCCGAAAAGAACTTCGAAACCTTTTCACCATCAAGCGTTGCTGAAGTGATAAGAATCTTTAAATTTGATTTTTTAATAGTAATCAAATGCTTCACAAGTCCCAACAATATGTCCCTAAGAAGTAGAATTGAACCAAAAGATAAAAAAATAAAATTTCGAAAATTTCGAATGAATAAGAAAAATGAGTTCTTGAAATGCACAAAAGCTTACGTGTTGAGACTCCTTTCATGAGCTTCGTCAAGTATTATCACCGAATACTGATTAAGCATTGGATTAGCCAAGCTTTCGCGAAGAAGAACTCCATCAGTTAGGTATCTGAGCAATTCACAAGCATTAAATAAGGAAACTAAAAAGAACATGGAAAATTGAAGTCAAATTTCAATGGAACTCTGAGAAATTTACTTAATGCAGGTTTTTTCCGAAGTTCTATCTTCAAATCTTATGGCGTATCCAACTTCTTCCCCGAGACGAACACCAAGCTCCTGCGCAACACGTCTGTGAACAGTAAACTCGTGTAAAAAATGAAGAAGAAGAAGAAATAATCAGTGAAAGAAACCAAATGCGTGATCTTTGAGGTTGTACCTCGCGACGGAGACGGCGGCGACGCGGCGGGGCTGGGGGACGCCGATGATTCCAGATTTAGAGTAGCCACTCCGGCGAAGCATCTGAGAAAGCTGCGTGCTTTTTCCCGAACCTGTCTCTCCGATGATTACGACCACCGGATTCTGTTCCACTGTTTTGATGATTTTCTCTTCGAATTGGACGATTGGAAGGTTCGCCATGGCTGAACAAGGTGGAAGCTCGAGCAAGTGCAGGAAGTTTTTGGAGAAGTATTTGACTACAGAAGGTTTAAGAAAAAAACGCCATGTCGTTCATATTTCAGAGTTTGCCGTCGTTTGGTTTCAAGAGTAGGTAGTAAAAAAATTGAATTTAAATTTTTATATGAAAAAATAATGTAGTAATAAAATTTGTGAAATAACAAAGCCTTAGAATGCGACGTATAGTTATTACTAGTGGATTACCCGTGTATTTGCACGGGTACGTAATAGTATAATTAACAACAATTTAAATAAATAAAGCGTATAGAAACACACACATGTATATATGTTTATAAGTTATTGTACATCTGTAATACATATATATACACATATTTATTTAGATGTTTATATTTCATGTAATCACTTCTTTTTCTTTTCGTTTCTCGTTTCTTCTGAGCTGCAGATAAGAAGGAAAAAAGTAAGGAAATAAATATTATTAAATTGTAACAATTATTAATAAACGTGTTCATACTTATTAAAATATTTAATATAACATATACCACATAATTTTACTTGATTTGTTTTCTTTTTTTGGATGAACTTGCGAAAGAGGTAGATTCGTGAGGGACTGAAGCAAACTGAATTGGCTTTGAAACTGATGATATTTCTTTTGAAGACGCAGTTGTTATAGGTGGTAAATACAACTGAGGTTGCTCGTCGTTAAAAGTCTTCAAAATAACTTTATCTATAAAAGCTCCTTGAGTCTGAAACTGTATGACAAATATTTTTGATATTCCTCTTATTTCTTCTAAAATAGGAGGAATCATGTAGCGATCAGTGTATCCCTCATCATAAGTAAGTGTAGAGCAAGCTTTGTTAATAAGTGACTGCACAGTTTTACCGAACATTACAGCGTCTGTTCTTCCGGTGTTATCTTCAATCTGTATATTTATTTTGTACCTGTATAAGAAAAGTAAATTATATTTATTGTATTTGTTAATAGAAAATTAAAGCACTTATTTTTTATAATAGAATTTATTACCCAGTAAGTGGCATTGTAGATAGATATCTATCGGTGTCACACCACCATGATGTCTCAGATTCTTGTACTTGTCTATAACACTTTGTGCAGGCATAGTAAAATCATCCTTGATGTGTATATAAGTCAGTTATAGTTGCTCTAACTGTATATTTTGTTTCCTATTATGTAGAAAAGGAAACAGTTTAATTCAATATATATACATATTATATTTAATGGACTATATTTATAAGCTTTGTACCCGATTTTGGAATGCATCTAATGCTCGTAATTTTGCGATGGTAATGCGATTTGTGTTTTTTTGGTCTTCTAATGATATTGCTGGCCTCGCTGATGTAGCAACGTAATCCAAACTCTGAATAGAATGACGAAATCTATATAAAAAGAATTTGTTTTATGTCAATAAATGAAGATACATATATGTAAACATTGAGAAAAGTGAGTATTTTTTGTAATACCTTTGTTTAATTCTTCGTGTTTCTGGAATTTCTGAATTTAAAAAGTAAAAAGTACCAGATGTGTTTGATAAGTAAAGACCTCCTGTAATAAATAGAAATTTGTAGTTAGCTTTGTAAAAAAATAGAATATAATATATTATAATATGAGTAATAACCTTGGTACTGTTTGGCCGCCATTGCTGTAAAAGCAATAACAATTGGTTCCGTCATTGACCGCACAACAGTTTCATTGAAAAGTTCTCCCATTTCTCCCCAAAGTGTTATAGTTAGTTGTTCTTCTCTGTATTAAGTAATGGAAAACATGATTATAAATATTTAAACATAAATATTTTTTATCATTTATTATTATAATAATAATTTCTATTATATTTACCTTATGTTCTGAATCGTGAAACTTCTTTTTTTGACAATTCTTTCACTGATGGCTGATTCTTCAATACCATGGAAGGATATGAGTCGACCAATTACATCTGATACAAATATTACATATATAATCAATTAGTTTTAACAATTACAAAATGAGAAATAATTGATTAAAAATTATAAGCAAATAAGTAATAAAATAAACAAACCTGAGAGAATATCGTTTACATCAATCCTTTGAGTAATTTGATCAAATTCGACAAAAGTAAATTTTTGTCGAGATATTTAAGGCATGTCTTCAGGAACATGTTTGAAAATTGTTGCTTTAGCTATCCGCAACATTGCCACATGAGGAACAATTTTATATCTTGGTTTGTTACGATCGATGAAGAAGTTACTAATTTCATATATATTTCCTTCTTCAATTATTTGACTCATGTAGTTAGCATCTCTTGATCGGATAACTGCATGTATTTCTTCATGTTGTAAAATTCTAAATTAGATTTTCTATTGTTATAAATTGAATAATAAATGTATATATTTCTATATATTTATAACTATATAATGTATAAAAAGAATACATTTGATTACCTCTTCATCAACCAAGAGTATATCAAGATTGATAAGTTATCCTGTCTTGTAGTCTACATTTCTCCATAAGCGACATATTCGAGCACGAATAGTCAAATGTGTTTCACCAGGTTTTAGGATTCTTATTGGTGCAAACATCTTGTTCAAACTGAAAAATAATATAGAAAATATAAGAATTCATAATATATAAATGGAAAAGAATATTGTATTATAATAATTTGTAATAACACTTTAAAAATCATAGGATGATTTTATAAAATGTTATAAAAGTATAGATATTATAAAATAATAATGGTATTATAAAACGTTAACAATGTAAAAATAAAATTGATAAAAATGATATTTCGTATATTGATTTAACTATTTAATTACAATATAATAAAGAGTAAATAAGTTACTAATTTTTAATATTATGTAATATTTCTTTGTACACAATATTTTTTATATAATTTAGATATTTATTTATTGATTTGTGTATTAAAATATTTAAACCTTTTGGTGATGTAACTCTTGATAAAGCTACATTTAATTGTCCATGAGAAAAAACTTCATTATCTAAATATATACCAATTTTTTCTAATGATTGACCTTGACTTTTATTTATTGTCATTACGTAACATATTTTTACAAGAAATTGTCATCTTTTTAAAACAAATGGCCATTTAGATTCATTTATAGTTAATTCTATTCTAGGTATATAAACTTTAATATTTGTATCAACAGAATTAATAATATGACCTTCAATAATTCTATTTGTTAGTTGGGTAATTATCAATCTAGTACCGTTACATAAACCTTGTGACTGATTAAGATTTCGTAATAACATAATAGGAATTCCGATTTTTAATTTTAATTCATGTGGTGGTAAATTATTAAAATTTAATGTGTGTAGAAATTCAGGAGGATATAATATATTTAATTCATCAAGGTTTCCAGATGAGGAAATAAGTGTATCGTAACTGTAATAAATTTTCTCCTCTGTAGGTATTAAAGATAACATATAATCATTTATTTCATCTGTTATTTTATTTCTAGGTGCTACAATTGCACTATTTTTTTATATATTTAATATTATCATAATTACTTTTAAAATCATCATATACTACAGTGGAAATATGTTCAATCAGATTTTTATCATATTTTATCAAATATTGTTCAGGTATATTAATCCAAGTAGCATCTTCGTTTTCAGGATCTTTTATTCCATTAAGTGTTCCATTTCTGATATTTAGTATCCAATCAGAAAATTTTTTAATTTCAGTTTGTCCATCAATAGAATTGTTTGGAATTTTTAATCTCATATTTTCTGTCAATGTTAGTACACGGAAATATGGCCAAAGATAAGAATTATTAATACTTGCATTAATAATGTTTTCTTTGGTGCCTCCTGGAATAACAGGTAAAATTTGTCTAAAATCACCACCTAAAATAACTGTCATTCCTTCAAAAGGTTGACTGAAGTTATTTCTCAAGTCTTGCATTGTTTTATCTAAAGCTTCAAAACAGTATTTATTATTCATTGGCGCTTCATCCCATAATATTAAAGTTGTTTTCTCTATTAATTTTGCTAACTGAGTATTTTTTTTAATGTGACATGTTGAAAATTTGTCAACTAAAAGAGGAATACGAAAACGTGAATGTGCTGTACGACCATTTGGTAAAAGTAATGATGTTATTCCAGATGATACAACTGCTAATACTATTTCACCTTCTGATCTAATTTTGTTAATAAGTGTATTCCATAAATATGTTTTTCCTGTACTTCCATATCCATATACGAAAAATAAGTTATCATAGGTTTTTGTAAGTGATTTTAAAATTTCATTGTAAATATAATACTGGTCATGGTTTAAATTATTTATTAAATTTATATTTTCTTCTTTTAGTTTTTTTTTATCATAATTGAGTTCTTCTCTTAGAAGTTTATTATCTAAATCTTCAATTAATGATCCTGTTGGAAGTGATATGTTAAAATTTGTTAAAGAAGATGCATTTAAATTTAGTAGTTTTTCTAAATCCTATAGTACAAAGTTATATAATTCATTATTTGGGATTTGAAATGTTGAATTGTTGAATAATTTTTTTAATTTATATATAATATCATCATACATTAAGTTCCAGTGATTTTCTAATAACTTTATTGGGTCAGATACGTTACAAAATAGTAAAATGGTAGTAAAAAGTTGACGAAGTTGAGCAGATGTTGACCAACATGATGCTTCTTCAATTGATTCATTTCATTCTTTATCATCTCCTAATAAACCTAATGCATGACATGCTTGTTGATATGTTGGATAAATAGTATTATTAATTGTTCGAATTGATTCAAAACTTGTTGCACCTTTTTGATGATTTAATAGTAATTTTAAATAAAATAATTCACCACAACTGGGAGGAATATGAAACATTCTTCCAATAATATGTCTATTTCATCGTTTTGTCCAAATTCTATCTTTGTGTTTCCAAACCCATTTGTTGGAAATTCTATATAAGTAAGTTCTCGAGCTTCTTCATGTATCTTATTAATTTCCATCCATTCAGTTAGCGTTATTTTTTTGTTATGAGGTAAATTAATTATATTATGTAATTATTAATTTTTATTAAATGTAATGTTTTGCATGTTTGGTAAGTGAATTGTAAGTCATTGACTAGCTGGATTTCTATGA